AGAAGTAAGAATACCTGTAGTTGCTATAATAATAATGAATGTCATACTTCAAACTTGTTATCGGTAACAATAGATAGCTTAGTACCATGGTCGGTAGTACTAGCTTAGTAGTTAAACAGATGTACTTTTATTTTTAGAGTTGCTGTTGTCATGTTATTAAGCATTGCATCATCATTTTATGTAGATCGCGAGCTGGTAGAATTCGTGCCCGTCGACAAACAGGAGTACGATGAGGTGATTGAGGAGTACGAGGAGGAGATCTTCGTGCAGAAGGGAGCCCCGAAGCCTGTTGGTGCTGACCTTACTGACCCATTGCCTGCCCAAGGCAAGCCCCGGTGTATAACCTCTATTTTAATGATAACCACACACACATATATATATATATATATATATATATGTGATGTTCATTTAAGTTACATGCATTGTATAGAAACTACATGCACAAATATATCTACCCATGAGTCCTACTAATACAGGTCGAGTAGCTGTTATGCTTATGATATCGGTAGCGTGAGTAACCTGCCGTTACTCGCAAGTAGGTGATAAATATGATCACTCATGATAAAATGGTAAAGGTAAATAGTGACCGGGAAGGGATATGGTTTGGGTATTGGTGGGTGTAAAGGGTTATGTCCTGCGGCCAACAGGGCATAGCTCGGTTACACTTTTTCCCTGTCTGTGTCGATTAAGGACCGGTCGTTGCATATGACTCTAGGCAAGTCATAGATTTATTATCCCGAGCGTATACTTGGGTATGGGCGCAGGGAAGCCTTGTTGCTCTCTTGTCGCGGACCCGGCTCTTTTCGGACCGACTGATTGGAGGCGGAGATGGTGGAGGTCCTTGCACCACACTGAGTTCAGGACTCAAGAGTGGGGGCTTGGAGTCCAAGTTTGGACGGTAACCTGGACACCCAGGACATGAGAGTGATGGATTAGTCCTGCTTGTTCCTGGGGTACAAGCGGGGCGTGTGTTTTTGGAGCACCCAGCTAGGCACATTGATTCGCGAATCGTCGAGAAATCCGGTACGGCTTGTCTGCAGTTTAGCACCGTAGTAAGAACTGAAAGTTGAAAGGAAAAAAAATGGAACTGATTGCTCAACTCTTGCTTGAAAGTAGAACAAGTGTTTATATAGACTGGCTAGATGATAACTTAATACGGCTGGTAATAATACATAAATAAGGACTCACTATTAGTATTGCTTTCTGCCAAAAGAAACCAGCAAGCCATAAAGCTTATCATATTCCTTGGAGTCGGAAAATTATTCCCACTAGTCAGATAAGTCTTGCGAGTACATTGTGTACTCAGGGTTTATTTACCCCTGTTGCAGGTGATGCATGAGAAGTACCTTTATGTGGAGGGTCCTTCTGGTGGGCTCAGACAGAATCCTCGCTCCTATCGCTAGATGTTTATTTAAATTCAGTTGTTTATCATTCCGCACTCTGACATTTGGTAATGTAATAATGTACTTTTCAAGAATCTCTGATGTATGAAATTGACTTGTATTGTAACTCGTTCTCATTATTGGATCCCTGGGAAAAATGTGGATCTTTCGGGTTCTCCTTCGGGGTGTGCCCGACGGATACCACCCGTGGTAGCTTGCTTTCGGGGTGCTTAATGTCTGGTGGAAGACGAGCGCCTCCGTAAGTGTGCTATTTTGGACGGTTCTGCCACAAAACATGTGGTTGCTTCACTGAAGTAATATTCCATGTGCCTGCCTTTGTTTTCCTAGCACATACTCTCCACCCATAATTTTGTTCTTCACAAGCAACAGTGTACCTAGAGTCCTTACACGAATTGATGACCCTATATGGATGGTTGTGCACAATGGAGTACTCTTACAACCATGACTTCAAGTGATCCATGGTAGAAAACAAAATGCCCTTCCTTATGATGTTGCAACCACTAACATTGGGTACTGTTGTTTCACTTGGTCCTCCATCAGCTATTGCCCTGTGGCCATGGCTAAGGTCCTCGAAATCATAAACTAATGGATCCCTCCCAGACAACACCCTCCTCAATATCTCTATTTCCCTATCATTGAGACGACGAACAGGATGATCGTTGTTAGAGTCTTCAGTTAATTCCTCTACAAATGTTTCATCATCTCTAGCTACCTCCATATCAAAACGGTTCGTAGCCTTGGCATCGCCAAAGTCATCTTCACCACTAAGATTAGCTTCGTCACTAAGATCATCATCAATTAAGTCATCTCCGCTAGCATCGTCCAAAGCTTCTTCTCCCTCACCAACTCCATAAGACTCATCATCATCATCGCCATAATTATTGTCATCACCATTGGCTCCCACGTTGTCCTGATCATCTCCGACGTCGTCAAAACAACCTTCACCTCCCTCAGCCGATCCTAACCCTTCATTACCGCCATAGGTTGGTTGTGTGAGAACTATTTCTTCTTCTAGTGAAGGACCATTCTCTATGTGAGCGTCGAATGATGGGCATACTTCAATGTTCTCAATTCCTATGCCATACTCCTTAGTTACCACCAAATCCAAAGATCGCACTTCGGATGCCAACATAACTGCTTTGTAATCATTCCATTCGGACTTGCTTGTAATTTTAAGCAACCTCTTGATGCGTGGACCCTTACACGACCCAACATCTATGACCCCTTCAAACTGAACATGCACGTGTACTTCGGACCAACCTAACCTTACTTTCACTCGGTCCACTAACTGGGTCAAAGAGGGTGACTCAGAAAAAAAATCAACACATCCTCAAACATGTCCTCAAATTCCACACTATCATCTCTTGTCCGAACAACACGCCCTCCATGATGCAACCTCACTAATTTATTCATCTACAGCCATCACACAACAAATGTTGTCACATATCATGCTAATATCATTACATCAAGGCGGACCTAATAACAAATCGCACATAACTAATAGACAAATCAATACAAAAATTAACTAAATTTGCCACTAGGTAATAATTAACACAATGCTGCTTACTACCATTATAGCATGCACCAAATAATTAACAATAGTATGATTTCAAAAAAAATTAACAATAGTAATTTGTACAGCAATCAACAAGAAACCCTAATGCCAATTTAACAACTCTTAGGCAAACTAACCACTATTTAACAAGAACAACCTAAAAACAGACCTCAAATGAGCTACCAAATCAAACTAAGTCATACATTACACAAATACATTTACAAAAATACCATAGCAACATACACCCACGGTTCCACAATTTTAGAGACAATGCAAGTAAATCTATGTAGACAAATTGGAAGAGGGGAAGGAGCATTACCTTGGGGAACCATCGGCAGGCGAGATCCAATAGCCTAGAGGAGCATTTGGGAGTTAGGGTTTGTTGGGGAACGGATGGGAGAAAGAGAGAGAGCAGGGAGCGGCGACCAACAGAGAAGAATGAAGGGAGGGAGGAAGAAGGGGGCTGCAGCGCGGCCTTATGTGCCCAGACCTCGGCGTTGAATCGGCCCGGGCCGAGGCCTGTGGCTCGGCGTTAACTAAGCCCACACTGAGCTTTGCGGGCCCCAGTGCCACGGGAAAGCGTCCAAATCCGAGATCTGGGAAGAACTAGTGCGCCATTTTGAGTTAGGGTTCATGGGGGCTGAGGAGAGAGAGAGAGCGGCGTCAGCGGTGGACAGAATGAGAAGGGGAGGAAGAAGAGAGCCGCGACGTGGCTTTAGTGGACAGAGCTCGGCGCTGAGTCAGGCCGCGCCGAGCTGTGGGCCTCGGCCTTAACGAAGCCCACGCCGAGCTTTGCGGGCCCATTGCCGTGTCAAGACCTCGACGCTGAGTCGTTCCACGCCGAGTGTAGAGGGGTTGGCGTTAACTATCCCTATGCCGACCAATGTGGGCCCAGTTGCCACGCCGGATACTGCGCCCAACGTCTACGCTGACGTGGCACCACCTCGGCGTCAACTGACACCGCGCCGAGGAACTAACCTCGGCGTGATGTCCTAATGCGCCTAGTGTTGGGTCTATTTTCAGAAAATATTTTGTCAGGGAGTTATTTATAAAAAAGTTTTCAAAAGGGACCAAAATACAAAAATTTCACGTTTGGCCTCGCCGTGTTGGCCCCTGTTGCGGCCGAGTTGTTTGAGTTGTTGTGAAACATGGCCCACAGGTCAGTTGGCGAAACCGCCACAGCTTTCCCCAGGTTTCTGTCTTTCCCGTGATCCAGACCGTAAACAAAGCAATCGACGGCTCAGGATTATCAAGGCGTGTCGAATTATAGAACCCCGATCCAGTCCCACCTCAACGCCGGTGAGGCCGCTGACTCCAAACGGCTCGCGGCCCTGCACGTGAGCGGCACGGGCATCCAGTAGCAGCAATCCAGCGGGCGACTGGGCGAGGCGAGAAGCCAACGATTCGATCGTTGCGTTCTCCCCTCAATTCCAAACTTCTCGCCTCGCCGCTCCCCGTCCCCCATCCCCCTACCCACGCTTCCTCCCCTCTGCGCCGCTCCTCCAGGCTCCAGACATGGCGATCGCCACCGAGTCGCGCGGCAGCGAAGACAGGGTATACTACTGTTCCCTCTCTCCTCCCCCTGATCGGATCCGCCCGCGGATGTTTTTGGGGCTCCGTGCCTCCGTGCGTAGCGGTTGATTCGTGGGGTTCGGCGAGCGATTGGTGTGCTTGATTATAGTCGTCTCCGTAGTCAAATTGGTGCCGGTTTACCGTCGAATCTGGGGGATTTTCCTCCGTCTCTTTTGCCTCTTGTTTTGTGGTTGCTGTAGCTCGTGGACGCGACAGGGTCAAACAGACGTTTCTTATTTTCCTGCGTGTGACATTAATATATCGTTGCTTTATTAGCTGTGCACAGTCCATTTTGTCAATATATCCTTTTGCGGAGTGATAATTAGGGTTTGACCTATATTTGTTGACACAGAAATGCTATAGAACGCACATGTGATTTAGCAAAAAAAAAAAACACATGGATTTTTTTTTATCTCTCTCCCTCTCTCTTTCTCACCGGCAGGGCAGGTGCCGGGCGCCGGCAATGGAGGATGGCCGGAAGCCCTGAACCATTACGCTGTGGCTGTGCAGTGCGGGGTGTAGAACAAGCAAGCAAGGCAGGGGGCCTAGTACGTGCGTACCGTCTTGGCGTGGTCCTGGAGGCGGAGCGGCGGCGCCCAGAGTCTTCCAGTCGGCGAGCGTGGGAGCGAGGCGTCGCTGCATGTCGGTGGTGACCTGCGCCTTGAGCTGCGGCGACTTGAAGAAGGCGCCGACGAGGCCGTGCACGCGCCGCTGCAGGCTGCCGTTGTTGAGCAGGATGGAGGACTTGCCCATGAGCTCCGTCAGCGACCGCGGGTACTAGGGCACGAAGGCGCGCGCGTCGCTCTGCAGCACGAACCGGCTCACCTCCGGGTCCGACGTCACCACAGACGGCGAGCTCGCCTCCGCGCCTGCGCCAGCCATGGCAGTGGCGGTGGCGGCTGCGGCGGCGGATCTGTGATTTGTCCTTCCATAGAAAAAAATTGTGATCTGCGATCTGTGATACGTGATCTGTGGAGGCTAGAGGCTAAAGAAGGGTGGAGGCTGTTGGATCTTAATCCTATGGTGCAAAAAAGTTCATGTGTTGAAACTGCATAAAACACATGGTTGTGTAGTAGACAGACTCTGAAACATGGTTGTGTAGTAGACAGACTCTTGTTGAAAAGCATGGGCATCCCCTTTGCTTGGCTTGTTACACCTTGCGCCAGTGAAGTACAATATGGGGTTTACCAGATCCTTCGCTTAGGAGTCTAACTCTTCATTCTGTTCCTGTCTGGTTATCCATGAACTTCACTCCATTTGAGTGATTTTTCCTGTGTCTAAGGCTTTGTAAACGAGGGTTCCAGCTTCAGAGTACTGTGGTAGTGCTTGCGAGCTTGGTACCCTGACCGCAGTCCATTGTCTCAATATCCTTTTGCAGAGTACATGATTAGGTTTTTTGACCTCTATGTGTGCAAAAGTATGGGCGTCCCTTAGTATTTTAACTCTCCATTATGTTCCTGGTGTGGTTATCCCTGAACTTCGATCCATTTGAGTGGTTTTCCTGAGTTTAGAGGGTTCATGGCTGATTAAGCCTCTAATGATGGTTTGCGCCTTCAGGGTACTGTGGTAGTGCTTGCAAGCTTGGTAGCTGGCTGCAGTGTAATGGAAATATAATGATGCATTTTGTTTTCACTTTGCAGGCTCCAGCCCACAGAAACGAGAAGCGGTGGGTGCTGTCTGATTTTGAGGTTGGGAAACCTCTTGGGAGGGGCAAGTTTGGCCATGTTTATCTGGCCAGAGAAAAGAGGGTAAATAACATGTTTAAGCTTACTTGCACTGGTTATTGTGAGTCTCTAACTTTACTGAATGATGTACTGTACCGTGATTGCTTGGAGTTGACTACTTCAGTATTGTACAATGTCCGTATCTACTAAGTGAACTTTTTATATTATGGTATACTCAGCAAATATACTACTGTAACTAATGTTAATTGTCAGGAAATATTGCACTGGTTATTTTTAGTCTAGCTTAGCTGAATGGGTACTGCACCGAGATTGCTGTGATTTGACTAATTCAGTATTGTACCCTATTTCGTATCTACTAACTGATTTTTTTATATTATTGTACAGTCAGCAACAATACTACTGTAACTAATGCTATAGTCAGCAAATATACTACTGTAACTAACAATAAACATGTTGAATGACAACGCTGGAAACGTCTTATAGAGTGTTTTTTCCCGTTTATGCTTTAGTTAATCATCCTAGTGAGCAGCGCAAGTTTGGCGTTGTTTATCTGGCCTGAGAAGAGAGGGTAAATAACATGTTTAAGCTTTCTTTTGGTTAGTTGAACTGCTTATTTTTAGTCTGTAACTTTACTGAATGATTTACTGTACTGTGATTGCTGGGAATAGACTACTTCAGTATTGTACAATGTCTGTACTTACTAAATTATTATGGTATACTCAGCAAATATACTACTGTAACTAATGTTAATTGTCAGCAAATATTGCACCGATTATTTTTAGTCTCTAGCTTAGCTGAATGGTTACTGCACCGAGATTGCTGGGATTTGATTAATTCAGTATTGTACCCTGTTTCGTATCTACTAACTGAACTTTTTTATATTATTGTACAGTCAGCAACTATACTACTGTAACTAATGCTATAGTCAGCAAATATACTACTAAACATGTTAAATGACAACGCTGGAAACATCTTACAGAGTGTTTTCTGTTTATGCTTTCGTTAATCATCCTAGTGAGCAACTAGGGCTTACAGTACGTCTTTTTGTGGAAACAGAGCAGTCAAATTGTGGCTCTGAAAGTGCTTTTCAAGAGCCAACTCAAGCAATCACAGGTCGAGCATCAGCTGCGACGCGAAGTGGAGATTCAGAGTCATCTTCGCCATCCTAATATTCTTCGCCTGTATGGGTACTTCTATGATCAGGTAAAAACATATCCACATTTCTAATATAGAGTTACCATTGCTTCATTTATATGGCAAGAGACATCATCATTTCTCTGTCATGTGGAATTCTCAGAGCCGGGTTTACCTAATCCTGGAATATGCTGCCAAGGGTGAACTGTACAAGGAACTGACAAGGTGCAAACATTTTTCTGAGAGACGTTCAGCAACTGTGAGTTGATGCTCTGTACATGTACTTGGTGAATTTATCTTTTTCACCAAAGTAGTAATGGAGATTTCCTTTTATTTTTAGTATATTGCATCATTGGCTAGAGCTCTGATCTACCTTCATGGGAAGCATGTCATCCACCGGGACATTAAACCAGAAAATCTTTTGGTTGGAGCCCAGGTACTTGCATTGTGTTTTTTTGGTATCCCTGATCTGGAAGATTGGAACTCTATGCTTACTTACATTGTTGTATGTTTCCTTGGAACAGGGCGAGATCAAAATCGCCGACTTTGGCTGGTCCGTGCACACCTTCAACAGAAGACGGACTATGTGCGGAACTCTGGATTACCTGCCACCTGAAATGGGTACTTTGCTAACCATTTTCCTCCAGTTATCAACTAGTTCTTGAAAATTCCCACAGCTGTACCAGCTCTCTATTGGCCTATCTGCTTTCCTTGGCTCTGAATCCTGTTGTGATTTGTCTAGTGGAGAAGACAGAACATGATTACCATGTAGACATATGGAGCTTGGGTATTCTGTGCTATGAATTCCTTTACGGGGTCCCACCTTTCGAAGCTAAGGAGCACTCAGAAACATACAGAAGGTAACTCCACAACTCTGGGATCTTAGTATGCGGCAATTTTGTCCCTAATTTGCTCATGTGAGTTCTAGATTATTTCTTGTGATTTTGAGCTATGCTCTGATAATTGTGAGGAGACTTTAGAACTTGCATACAGTGCTAGTGTAGCAAAGAGAATGCACTATATTGATCACCATAGCTCCACATGTTTTTAGATCCATGATTTTTCTATCTATCATTAGTATATACGTAATAGCATAGTGAATATCTATCCTTGTGGTTGTGAAACTCGAGTCTTTGACAGCTTGTTTGCGGCTTTGAAAACAACTGCTGTTTCTAAAAGCAACTATGGGATCTTAGTATGCAGCGATTTTGTCCCTAATTTTCCCATGTGAGTTCTAGATTATTTCTTGCGACTTTTGAGCTATGCTCCGATAATTGGTGAGGAAACTTTTGAACTTGCATATAGTGCTAGTGTAGCAAAGAGGAAGCACTATATTGATCACCATAGCTCCACATGTTTTAGATCCATGATTTCTTTCTATCTATCATTAGTATATATGTATAGCATAGTGCCATAGTGAATATCTATCCTCGTCTTGCGCAAAAAAAATATATCTATCCTCGTGGTCGTGAAACTCAAGAGCAACTGCTGTTTCTGAATCTGTCATTTATCCCTAACTTGCCCATATGAGTTCTAGATTATTTCTTGCGACTTTTGAGCTGTGCTCTGATAATTGGTGAGGAAACTTTTGAAGTTGCATATAGTGCTAGCGTAGCAAAGAGGAAGCACTATATTGATCCATGAATTCTTTCTATCTATCAATAGTATATATGTATAGCATAGTGAATATCTATCCTTGTGGTTGTGAAACTCAGAGAGCAACTGCTGTTTCTGAATCTGTCGTTTTTACTTGGATACAGGATAGTGAAAGTCGACTTGAAGTTCCCACTGGAACCATTCGTTTCACCTGACGCGAAGGATTTGATTTCTCAGGTAAGAAGTCTTCAGTTTTTCCCTTGTCTTGTAAAGAAAATGGCTGTTCAGATTCAGAACCTCATAAATTGTTGTACACAGATGCTGGTCAAGAACTCGGCGCAGCGGCTGCCACTCCACAAGGTTCTTGGGCACCCATGGATCGTCCAGAACGCCGACCCTTCTGGCGTGTACAGAGGGTAGAACCACCACCGGCTGAAGACTGCCGCTTCTCCACTCTCTCCAATTCGAGGGGAGCACGCAGACACATTGCGACCACTGGCTGAAGACTGCCTCTCCTCCACTCTCCCCAATTTGAGGGGAGTGCGCAGACACATGGAATGCCACGAGGAATCAGCTCATGAACCCGGGCCTTGCTGGATGTGTTTTAGTGTTCGATTTGGTGGTGTGTCTGTATTGGGGTGTGCAGTGTGTTCCACATGGGTTTGCGTGGGCAAGCGTTCATCTTCTTTAATCTAATGGCAGACAGTTGTACTGCTGTGTTTGAATAAAAAGTACACAAAAAGTAACTCTAAGATTAAATGAGATTGAAAATCTGAAACAAACACTGATTCGGATTTTTGTTCATTTTTTTTCAGATAAAAATGTTCAGATTGTTTGCTTGTTGGATATCGCTACTGTCACTAATCAATTGGGTCCAGAACTAACTCAAGGGGAGTAAATATAGACAGTGATCAATTGGGTTCGGTCTAGAGCTAATTCAAGGGGATTAAATATAGGCACTGTGGAGTAACATTATGGCACTCAAATATGATAAGGACATTTTCTGTGCAAAGAACAGCTGGTTGCCCCAAACTACCAATAATCTTTTTCTTGTCAGTTGCTGAACCATCTTCTGCCAAAGTTAGTCCGAGTAAAAAGTAGGAACCTAAATACATGTGATTTGGCCAAAGTGTGTATAGAGTTGCCCCAAATTTGTGTGTTATATCACTTTATTGTGCCACACCAAACCCTTGTACACAGTATTTCCTTACACTAATCACGTCCTCTGTATACCAACTATATGTAATCGTTAGCCCGACACTGGTTACTGTTGGGGATGAAAGGTACAATTTTGTTTCGTGACTAAAAGCTATTAATGTGTCAGATGAGTGACGTATGTACTACTCAATCGTGCACCCTGCACATGCTAGAAAGAACAAACCATTTATTTCTGGTGGGGCAATCATGTACCTTTTGAGTGTTGTTTACTTTATATTAGTCTGAAGACTGATAGCAACATAAATTTTTGAATGGGAATGGAAGCTCGCAATTGCTTCATGGATCATTCAGTTGCTTTGTAAACAAAAATTGGCTTGGTCCATTACAAGATGAACAAATTGGAAAATACTGATGCTTGTGGAGCTGACGAAGAGGCTATTTTCCAACTTGAGTGATCTTTGGGCCCTATTAGGGTTCTATTCTAGGAAGCCTTTTGTTTTCTTTTTTGTTGCTGTTTTGGATGCTAAGGACAAAAATCATTCAGTACACACAGTCAGAAGTGGAGGCCATCAATTGGAAAATTCTTGATGCCTGTGCATGTTGATGCTTGGTCGTGGGACACGTCAGGTCGAAAGGGACCTATTATTGGTGGTGCTTCTCTGGCTAGTGTCCATGATGGCGATGATTAGGAGCACTGGCAACAGGCAGGCTCACCACCTCCATGGCTCCTCCACCATTCCACCCGTTTGAAGGAGGAAAAGGGTATTCAGGAATTCCATTGGAGGGGTCCACTGCACTTTGGCCGTATTGATTTTCTCTCCTTTTTTGTGGTGCAGTTTCCACCAAAAATACATGGTATATTCCCTCTGAACTCTGAATCATTATTTGTTGCAGACTGAAAAACAGTATTTTTTTACATGGTATTTTTCTCACTTTGTTGCCTTTTATGGCCCTGCGACAATATCATGAAGAACTAATTCAACTAGATTCATGGAAGTTATTTTTTCACTTGCACTGAAGAATTGAGGGATGCAGAGGTTGATAAGCACGAAGTACTGAAGTAGTGGCAAAACAGGAAGGCCACACTCCTCAATCTCCCTGTTCCAAAAAGTGCATCTCAAAAGAGGAGATTGCCAAGATACCTTTTTTAAAGGGGAAATTGGCTGGCGGACACCCACAGTGGTGTCGTTTGCTAGCGGACACCTAAAGTAGAGCTGTATGCTAGAAAACACTTTGGTTTGTTGTAATTATGCCAGAGAACATCGCAGGCCGGTTTCCATCGGTTGAGGAGAGAGAAAAATTCAGTTTACTCCGATGCCCCTGAGCCACGTTTGGGTCTGGTTGAACCAGCTAACAAACCGATCCGAGCCTCGTCTGGTTAACCAGCCCGTCCCGCCTGCCTGGTGCACCTAGCGTTTTACCTTCTGGTCTAGAGGATGACGCGTAGGCCAGGGCTGGTGGGTTCGGCCTGCTGCACTATTCCGTGAACCAGCTATTGCACTATGCTATGGACTACGCGCTCCCACTCTTGGTTCATGCGAACTGCGTCCACAGATGGAAGAGGTGGAGGCACTTCCGTGTGGGTCCCGCGAGATGAAGTGTCACCGGCTCATTGGCCTGGGTGACGTGGACGGGTGCTCGGCTTTGGATGCCGTCGCGTGGGCGCCACCCTGGCCCACCCATTCCCTTTCCGTGCGGTCGCAAACGAGCGAGCAGAGTAGGGCGGCGGCGGTGGGCAGAGGCGAGCGCGGCTCCGGCAGCTTCTTCGACGGGCGGTGAGGAGTTCGGCTCCCGCTGTGTTCGACTCTGGCGTGGGGAGCTCCGTGGCCCGACGCGGTGCGGGCCGAGGCTGAGCATGCCGGGATGGAGAGAGCGGGAGAGCAGAGTACGGCGGGCAGGGAGAGCAAGGATGAGGAGGAGGCTTGGCTGGGCGACGGAGCAAGGCAAGCGCAGGGCGGCGGTACTGGTGGCGTTCGGCTCCGGCAGCTGGGCGAGAGGAGGCACGGCTCCGACGGCTGTGGCTCGCAGCGAGGGCCGAGGCGACGTCGCGGGTCAGTGCGACGCAGCTCCGGCGGCGGCGGCTTCGGCGCTGCGGCGGCCCCAACAGATGCGAAGGGGAGGGGCGAACAGAGGGAGCCAGAGCTAGAGCGTGATGTCGAGCGGCGGCCAGCCGAACGGCGACCTCGGCAGTCAGCTTGCCTGTGCGGGTGCTCGTGCTTTGGAAGCCAGGCATCCAGGGAGCTTGAGCTTGGTGAGCGGGCACCAATGGTGGAGTTCGCCGGCTTTTATAGCCCGCGAGGGAGCACAGTAAGTCGGTGACGGTGCTTGGATTTTTCCGGCCAAGAAGATTTTTGCCGGTATCCATGGCAGTGCCGCAGCGTCTTCGTGGCGCACGCGCCGTGCTTGAGCTAGCGCCTGGTGAGCTCGATGGGACATGGCAGCGGCCAGCGGGTACAGCAACGAGAGATGAAGCGGTGGTCTTGCTTCACGTGCGCAAGGAGGAAGACGACGCAGACGCGGCGTCCACGCGTCGCGGCCTTGCTGGGTCGAAGGCAGTGTTGGGCTGGCGTTCTTCACGTGCTCTGGCCGGGGAGATATTTGCCGGCAGCCATGGCAGGGCCACAGCGCAGGCGGCGGCGGCGCTTCGTCCAGCGCAGGGGCCGGTTAACCAGGCCAGGCTCGGGTCGGTTGGATTTTTCTCTTCCTCAACCGGTGAAAACTGGCTCGTGGTGTTCTTCTGGCATAATTCTAGCAAATAACTCCACTTTGGGTGTCCGCGACCACCACTGTGGGTGTCCGCCGGCCAATTTCCCCTTCTGTAAAAGGTATCTTTATTTTCTACATCGTGGATCTGTAGATTTGGTCTCTTTGGTAAAATCTGAGTAACCTCAGTTTGTTGGTAAAGATTGGTTAGTTGGGGTTTGGCCTTTAGGTTGATTGTTAGAAACTTAATTGCTAAGCAATTGGGTAGCAAGAAAGGACATTTGGCTTCCAAATTTTGGCAGCAAGCATGGCAAATAGTCAAAAGCTGACACCAAATTATTACTTATAAAAAGGTTAATGAGATTAGTATAGAGGTTGTCTTAGGTTTTACCAGCATGAATGCCTTGGGTGGGTCGCTGGATTTAGTACATTTACCTTCAGTACAAATTACTCTCCCCCAAACAAGGATAGGAATGGAGAATTGTCAGCAGAAGGAATAGCTGCAGAATTGATGTCTGGTGAGACAAGAATAGCATGGATAGGGATTTCCAGACAATGCCACGTACGCGCCCCATACAGTAAGCTTTCATCGTTATTCTTTTTTTTTCCATTAAAGCACACCACCACTAGCCTCTTTAAAATGCCACCGTGCAAGTTCTTCTTGGTTCTCACAAGAGCCTTTGCTGCATCAACACCTGCCGGCTGCAGGCAGGTAAAAGCATCCCTCTCCTCCCCTCTACTGCAATCTTCTGCCCCCCCTGCAGATCATGGAGGAAGCTTGGCAGGAGTGTCTGCATGGTTCTTGAGAGTTGCGTAAGCAGCAAAGCAGTGCATGGATGGTTGGAGGACAATGGCCAGCTGAGCTGCTGCTGCTCCTCATCAATCATCAGTTTGTATTTGTCCATGCCTCTTATGGCCGTCTTCCCTGGCTCCCAGTCCCGGAAGGCCCGGTGAGGCGTGGACAGAGACCGGCAAGTCAGAGATCGGCAATGGTGAACTCCTGCAGGAGCCTACTCCTTATTTACCAGTTTATAAGGTTTCCCTCTACCTGTTGTTGCTCGTCTTCCTTCGTTTCTTCTTATCTGTCTCCTCTTGCCCTAGAGCTGCACCGGTGAGAGCAGAAGATTTCAGTAGAAGTCTTTGCTTTGTGGAGACAGTTTCAATGTTGTGGTTTTGGAATATGCTACTGTGATTTGCTCGTGTTTACCCTCGTAAAGATAGCTTGTGAGACCTTTATTTGTGCTGTCGAATCTGCAATCGTGTTTGATCTAAAGGACGCAGTGACCGTTGTCATATTGTTGGATAATTTTTAAGTGAAAACTCCACGAGCTGAAAACAAAGTAATGGACGGACATTCTACTTCTGCATGGTGTCCTGGATCCTGATCAGGTCCTCAGAAATTTACGCAGGCATGTCCAGATGTCCTGAATCCTAATAACACCTATCAGGTCGTCAGAAATTTATGGTTTCTGAAGCCTGAAATGCTGCTGGGGAATGCTGGCACTGCATACACCGAGTGCACTCTGCGCGAAATGATTTTGATTTTCCCTAGCAAGTTGCAACAGTGTATATCTATATACATACTGCTTGATGGTAGTACCGCATACGAGAGGCACCTATGGATAATTTAGGGGAAAAGATGTCGCAAGTTTTCCTGGAATGTGTTTTTTTTTATCGAATGCATCATCATTAATGTTAAGAACGAAAATTTTCTTGGAACATTCATGTTTTCAGAAGAAAAAAAAAAGTCTAGCCACTCCGCTGTGAGACGTGACGCCGCATTATTCCGAAGCTGGAGAACCGACCAGCTGCTGGACGAGTGAAAATTCACACACACAGAGAAATAACCTGAAACGACAGCTCTGGGTGAGTGGTGTCACAGATATGCTATATCAAGCCCAGGTCGGCCAAGCGACTCTGAGCTCCAAAAGGCTGCACGCCATGTGGTATTAACAGTAAAACTTGTGTGCCTTCTAAATCAGTCTGACGGCCCTTTGAAACACATGAATTTGTGCAGGATTTACACAATAATTTTCTACATTCCGGAGGGGGCATAAATAAGTTAACAAATAAATTTATAGAGGCATTTTCAATTTATCCATGAACTTTCTTTCCGAATTCAGTCTAAATAAGCTAGCAAATAAATTTGTGGATGCAGTTTATCATGAACTTCAGTTTGGGGAGAAGTAGACGGAAGGAATATAGATGAAAGAGAGGACAGCTCTTCATGCGTCAGACTAAAAAAGCTGTCACATCCGTCCTTGAGAATAAAATCAAGTGTACATCGTATGTGTGCTAAGATGAATTTCCATCGGTACAATGATATCATAAATAAGAACTTTTTTCCTATGGTTGGAGATGCGTCACGAAACGTTAAATGTGTCTATGATTGTTGGGCCCATATGAGGGAAGGCGTTGAGAGGCGTCAATGAGGGAGACGTCGGGAGGCGTTAGATGTGTCTATGGTCGGTGGGCCCATATACGCCGTAACGCCTCCCAACGCTTGAGGATTATGACTTCAAATAAAAGAGTGACAATTCATTTTTGTAGTTAATTTTTTTTAATCAAGGGTAAAACGGTAAATCCACAATTGTAACAATAATGTTTTGAGCGGTATAGTTGGGATGTATGATTTAAGGACTATAGTTAGATGAATATTTGCTTTTAAAAAAAGATGAATATTTTCATCTTGTTAGGGTTCATTCGTCGCCGTCTCTGTATTCTCCGTCTCTGTGCCGCCGCCGTCCGCCACCGTTGATCTGCCCACGGGATGACCTCGACGCATTGCGCCGCTCCTGCATCGTCTCCGTCGAGAATATGAGCTCATCCGCGCCCTGAGCAGTGGCGGACCCAGCCGAAAATATGAGCTAGGGCGGATTGCTACGTACAGATACAAAACTTGACCGATATACCAGTCTAACTATGTATGTATACCCTATCTATATTGTAATCCAATTACTTTACCCCGCTTTACTGAATGCATCATGACCAAAATGTGTTTCTAAGGGCTTTTGCTTAAAAAGAAAGCAATAGAAGCAAAATGATGCATCCTTAGCCACGCTATATTCCAACCAATCATACTGTTGTAACCAATCACTTACGGAATTTGTACTAGGAAAAAAGCTTTTCAAATTTGCAAAACCAATTAACCATTGAATTGATTTCACTAGTTAGAGATCAATCTTTATCTATTTATTTGACTAACAATTTGTGATGGATAATGGATTAAGGGCAGCACCTATTTTCTTATACTGCTTCTGGCTCAATGGACTTGGAGCTGCCGACCTCCTCGCCGTGCTAGACGCATCGCCGGCTCCCCTTCATCTCTTCCCCCAATCGCTTCATCTCCTCTCCCATCCATCTTCTGCTGCCTGCTTGGTGCTGGCGTCCTCGCTCCTCGGCCGCCCGCCGTCGCTCGCTAGCCACCGGCGTAGGGAGCTAGGGGCTAGGGATGGGTAGCCGGAGAGGGGAGGCAAGGAGCATGCCCTGCCGGCCTAGAGCATTGGAGCGCCGCCGTGAGTTGGATTGGAGCGCCACCGCGCGAGCTCCTGAGCTGCTATGCGAGCGATTGAGCGAATGTGCTTGCGTCCCTGGTGCCTCCAACTTGCCTTGCACCGCCGTCCTGCAGGCCGAACTCGCCCTCCAGGTCATCCACACCGTCCTCCTCCTCGTCGCCCGCCACACGCGAGCAGCCGTCGCGGCGCTCGTACTCGTAGCAGGCGAGGCAGCCGGTGGTGGGCACCGGCTTGCCGAGCCCGCCCTCCAGCTTCGCCACCACGGACCGTCGCGTCTGTGGACGCGCGCACCTCGCCAACCGCACCCCCCGGGCAGCGGGGACGACCGCCGCCGCCGCCGTGAGCGGGAGCGCAATCGTCGCCGCGGCCTCCGCGTGCTCGGTTGGGGAGCTGAGGGCTGGTGAGAAGGGGGCGGGCTCGTATCTCGACGGAGACGATGCAGGAGCGGCGCAATGCGTCGAGGTCCTCCCGTGGACAGATCAACGACGACGGACGGCGGCGGCGGCACAGAGACGGAGAATACAGAGACGGCGGCGAATGAACCCTAACAAGATGAAAATATTCATCTTTTTTTTAAAAGCAAATATTCATCTAACTATAGTACTTAAATCATACATCCCAACTATACTACTCAAAACATTATTTTTACAATTGTGGATTTACCGTTTTACCCTTGATTAAAAAAATTAACTACAAAAAGGAATTGCCACTCTTTTATTTGAAGTCATAATCCTCAGGCGTTGGGAGACGTTATGGCGCATATAGACCCACCGACCATAGACATATCTAACGCCTCCCGACGTCTCCTCCATTGACGCCTCTTAACGCCTTCCCTCATATGGGCCCAGCAATCATAGACACATCTAACGCTTTCTGACGCCTCATCAACCATAGTAAAAAAAGTTCTTAATCACAAATAGCAGCGGTTCGTACAACAATTCATGGGAAGGTTGCCTAGAAACACATAGCCTAAGCGCTCCTGGCAGTCTTTTAGACACACCACATCATCTCCATCTTTTGAGCAGATTTTACTTTTAGGCCTTGTTTAGATTGCAAATTTTTGCAATCTGGACACTGTAGCACGTTTCGTTTATATTTGACAAACTTTGTCCGATTATGGACTAACTAGGCTCAAAAGATTCGTCTCGTGATTTACAATCAAACTGTGCAATTAGTTACATTTTTTACCTACATTTAATGCTCCATGTATACGTCCAAAAATTGATATGATAGAGAGAGAGTGAAAAAATTTGGAACTTTGACGTAATCTAAACGTGGCCTTACTAACCGAATGAGTGGGGGAATGAGTACGTATCGTACCTAGGCCACTCTCGGGCGTGAGCATGGTGATATATCAAATTTTTTTATCTCGTGATATATCAATTTTAGACATTATACAAAACGTCTCTACCCATAGCACATGATTCTTGTATGCCATGGTTAATTACTCATATGTCACACTTCCCAAGGTATGTCTGAGTTTTACTACAATCATCCAAATTTAACTTATTCTCTCTCACATAATATTATTCAATCATTCAAAATCAGCCGTGCTACAGTACATATCTGTATCAGCCGAACGCGGTGAATATCTTTGCAAGGTTGATCTAGTGTGTGCTACCACTCTAGAGCTCCACCTAGCCTACATAAACATCTAGGGGCCGCCACCGAGTCGTACTTGATATGGGAAATCTCTCGCCGGATCCATCCTGTATCACTCCACTAGACTCCTCTAATTTAGAAGCCAATTTCATAACCCATGTAAATCTGGTTGTACTGCTTTTCTAGGTAGTCACTCCACAAACCGATCTTTAAGAGAGACTTAGACATGCCCAACACTAGCCATCCGAAACTAAAATACCATAAGCATCACCAACACCTGCATAACCACAACCATACATATATAGTCCGATTTAGTCCTCCCAGACTTGGTGCCATATCAAACAAAACTCCCATCTAAACCACCCAGATTAAAAAAGAACAATTTTAAAATTCATGTAGATCAAAATCTGATTTTATACACTAAATAAAGCTGTGCTCCATGGATAATTGAGAGGATAAAAGGACTTAGAAAAAGGCGCTTTTATCTCCTCGAACTATCAACGGGGCCCGATTTTTCTCCTAGAATTTCAAAACCAAACATCTTACTTCCAAAACTCTCAAAATTATTTAAATTATATCCTTTGTATGGTTTTGAAGTGGTTTTGAAGGTGGTTTCTTCCTTTGTCTAGTTGAAAATCAGATAAATATCTGATAAAGTTTTTAAACTATAAAAATGTCTAAGATTCTAAAAGTTTCAATAAAAATCCTAGAGACGGATTAGGAAACAAAAAATTCAAATATAATATTTAAAGATCGTCATAGTATCTCTAGAAGCTTCCAAAAATTAGATCTATCTCTAGAAAAATGAGAAAATATCTAGATTTTTTAAATTCTCAAAACATTATAATTGTTGTCTAAACGTGTTTTGAAAATGTTTCACAACAAAAACGTAAGACACAGCCAGCACAAATGCATCTGTCATCAATGTGCATTCATGCTAGCTGCATCTCATATTTTGCCATGCAAAGTTTTTTCGAAACATGTATAAACATCGATTATAATGTTTGGGGGGGGGGGGGATTTTCAAAATATTTTAGGTATTTTCTTATTTTCTAGTTATACATATATTTTTGAAGCTTTAAGAGATATTTTCATGATCTATAAATATTTTATTTAAGGTTATCGTGCCCTAACTTATCTCCAGGATTTTTTCTGGACTTTATAGAAGCTTAGAGATATTTTTGTGATTTAAAAATCTTATATAATATATATAAACTGGATTTTTATATTAAATAAAAAGTGATGAAATTGCTTTCAGAACCACCTGAACCTAGGATACGGAGATAATCCAAATGGTCTTTTTTATCTTATTATATAATCCAAATGGTTTTGACTGTTCAGAAATATGATTCGTGGTTTTGAAAGTTTGAAAAGAAAATTTATGTTAGCGAGGTGAGGTAGAATGGACCCTTTTATCTTTCGTATATGCCCGGTGAGCTGCAGCCCATCCCGTATGGCCCCGAGTGTCCGGCCCACCTAAGCCCACGTACATACTCCAAACCTAAACCTAGCAA